TTTAGGTGGGGATAAGAGTTCAAGTTATATTAATACGAGAGGTATCATGATCAAATATACTCCATAGTGCAGGGGTCATGGTCGAAGAATACATGTAGATGCATCAACGCTTCGGAACATTGACATGTTAAACATTCTAAAATGTTTTATCAAAAATAAGTAGATTTTTAAATGTTTTCTTATACGACGACAATCGGAGGTTTTTATGATATGTATTTTTGAACAGTTTTTATAAATTTCAATTATTTTTAATTCAAATATTTCAATTCCAAAAGTGGTTTGACAGTTCATTGTCCAAACAGCTCTGTAAACGCGACTACCTGTATTCTTCTACCATGGAAGGAATATGGAAATTGAACGCCCCTGAAAGTATACCTCATTATTTTAAAAAATGTCAAAATCACGTAAGTAGCTTTGAGGGGAGCAGATACAAAATATCGATAGCAACAACATTCGAAATTTTCGATAAATGAATCGTCAATATCGATACTATAGGATAACTTATACATTTGCTATTATATATGAATATTTAATAATATAGGAAAAAATATAAAAACATAGGAAAAAAATACACTTGACGCCAGGTAAGGAAAGCTCCAACTCCTTGAGTTCTAGAGATATGAACATGCAAATTTCATAGAAAAACAATTTGTAGAAGAAATATAAATTGCGCTCCTTTTTCAGTTTATGGACGATATTTAAAAAACTCACTATTTAAAATATTAAAGAAATCTCCAAAGTAATTTGAAGCTGGCGAATACAAAACATCGATACTAGGGTTTTAAAATATCGATAGTATTGATACTATCAGATTATTTATATACTAAAATCCGACACAAAGTGTTTTTTTTACGTTTATATTTTTAATTTTAGAGCCTATTTTAGGCACTTTGGCAAATTTCCAAAAATAATAATGGGATTGTATTTTTTAATAATATACAGGGTTAGAAAAAAAAAACTGCAACCGACTTCAGACAGCTGTCATTTCTTAGGCACTCGTCAGACAGCTGTTAAAATTATTCCAGTATCAGCTCATTATATTCTTTACAAGCGTACAAAAGTATTTTGGTGAGAATTTTCCAGAAAAAAAGTTATTCGTGATGGGACGTGATGGGATGATGATAGTGTGATTTCTTTATATTTGGCTGGAAAACCACAAGTAGCTATCGTTAGAGCACTCCAGCATTTAAATGTGAATAAATGTTTTGTGTCTCGTCCATCACTCGTTACCGTGATACCGATAGCGAAATCCGACGTCAAGGAAGTGGACGGAAGAAAATAAAAACATCAGCCGAAATGGTTCGAACAGTAAAGAAGCGACTTGATCGAAACCTGCGTTCCAGTGGCCGAAAAACGGCTCGTGAGCTGAACATATCGCAATATTCCATTCGGCAAATTTAGAAAAATGAGCTCGGTGTAAAACCATTGAAATTCCTAAAAGAGCAAGAACTTACACCGCAACAGAAATAAAATAGACCCACAAGAGCTAAAGAACTGCTTCGCTTGCCCAAAAGTGGTGAACTGCCGAATTTGGTTTTCTCCGACGAGAAAAAATTCGTTGTCCAGCAGTTTGTAAACAAACAAAATGATCGTTTTTACCTGCCAAAGAGGTCAGCTGAAAATGTGCGCCTTCGGTTGGCCACCAGAACTCAAGCGCCGGCCATAGTGATGGTGTGGGTCGCCATAACAGTCGATGATCGTATATATATCGTGTTGATATATTAATCGACCGTGGCATCGAAATAAATGGCGAATATTATCGCGAAAATATTCTAGAGGCTATATTGAAGCCTTGGGTACGAAACACCCAACAATGGTTACAAAATGAGGTTCCTCGCTCCATTTCCAGCACACAATGGCCACCAAATTCTCCGGATACCAATCCGTTGGACTATTGTGTTCAAAGTATTTTGGAAAGCAAGGTTGGTACTAGAAAATACAAAAGTGTCGATCACCTCAAGCAAGCGCTTCGCCGGGAACGGGTCAAAACACCGCAAAGCAATATTCGGGCAGCGTGTGACGGTTTCATTGGCCGTTTGGAGGCCATAATTCGTGCCAAAGGTGACCAATTCGAACAAATCTAAACTTATTCTAAAATTTGATGCTGTTTCCGACATTTTTAGCTTTCATTTAATAAAATTTAAAAAAATTGTAAAAATTATGGTGTTTGACTTTGTTGCAGATTTTTTTATCTCAGCCTGTATAGGGTATATATTAATAATATATTATATATCAATGTGCAGTATTAGTTTTTTTTTGTTTTAGTTTTCGTTTCAGTTTCCAAACTGGAAACGTTGAAAAGTATACTATAAAATGATTGCTATTAACGTGAAAGCCACTCAAAGTAAGGCTTTCAAAATAAAATGTGTTTTCAAATTTAGAATGTAATTTTCATAGAAATTATTATACCTAGAAGTATGGTTTGCTCTGAGATTTATAGTGAAATTTTGTGTAGAGTATTTCTCCTTTTGACAGATTTCGCCTAAAATGAAATTTTGTGTGACTTTCAGACGTCAAATCGAAAAAAGTCCGAAGAAAAATGTATAAGAAATTAGGAATTTTTATACATTTTTTTCGGAACATTGATGCAAATATTTTTTTGCTTTACAATCAAAATAGAGATTGCTTTTTTTAAGTGACTTATAGTAAAATTTGGCGGCATCCTTCTCAAATGAAGCCTTGTGGGAGATTTTTGCACAAACTCACACAAAGTTCGATTTTAACCCTAAAATACGTTTTTAAATTTTGAATGTAATTTTCATAGAAACTATTATACCTAGTTGAATAGTTTGCCCTGAGATTTATAGTGAAATTTTCCGATGAATATTTCTTCTTTTGACAGTTTTTGCCTAAAACGAAATTTTATGTTACTTTCGTACGTCAAGTCAAAAAAGTCCGAGGAAAAATTCACCAAAAAAAAAAAAATCGGAAATATTTTAAATTTTTTGAAGCAAATATTTTTTGGTAGCCAATGGAAATAGGTATTCGTTTTCTAAGGGGACTTTTGGTAAAATTTGATAATAAACGTTTTTGTCCTATACGTGATCCTGCTAAAACTATGCATTGAGGAAGATTTTTGCACAAACTCACACGAAGTACGGCTTTAACCCTACAATGTGTGGTATATATGAATTCCTAGAGTTTAGGTAAGACCTTTTCTAGGACGTACGGTAGAATTTCATGACAAATAATTTTGCAGAATATTCTGACTTGCTACGGTCCCATTTAAAGGGAGTTTTAAACTATTTTTTTAAAAAAGGACCGATAATACCCCTTTGTTGACTCGCATGGGGTTTAAATATTCTTACAAAAATATTTCTTGTGTTTTGATCTGCAATATTGCTGAAGATACTATATACCTAAGATGGACGGTTTCCAAGAAATCATATTCTGAAAATTTCCAAAAGTGTGGAAAAGTGGGAAACTTGCCTCGTTCATTTAGGTTACTTTGCAATGACTAGTTTTAAAACGCCAAGACACGTGTTTTTTAGCTCTACTTTCATAATCTGTTGGATTTTCCCCGTAATTGTCATGCACAGTGTTATGAAAAAAAATTAATTACGAATTATTTATTAAATTTCTGTAATTATGAAAAATTTATAAATTTTTAAGTTGATTGAAATTTTATAATTATGAAAAATTTAATTGAAATTTTTTTTCACAAATTTTATTAAAACAAAAATCCAGCCTCTGTGTAGCCCTTGAATTTAAAAAAATATTGTTTACTTTTTTGTATTTTTTCTTGGTTCTTAATGGAGATTACATCCGTTTCCCTTCTTTTATTTATACCCAACTCTCTCCCTCTCTCTAAGATTGCCAATGTCTGTTTTTTTTTTTTTGGTTTTTTTCGTTTTATTTTTCTCTTAAATTGAAAATTCCAGTGACTTATGAATTGCTCAAGTGCAAATTCCTTTTAATTTCCTCATCAAACACGAAATAATGAATCCATTACAAAATAATAATAAAAAAGCAAAAAATTAAAAACGACTTGGAACTGTGAAAAACTAGTAGTAATTTAATAAATCCGACATGCATTTTTACTTAAAAGCTAGGTGTTGATTTCATTGTAATGGGCCACAACACGCAAATGTGGCGGATTGCCGAAAAAAAACGAATTCTTGCTCAAAACAAAAAAATCCTTTGAGGTATTTCTTGGGTTTTGCACAATACGAAGTCACAAAACTTAAAATGCCAAAAGTTTTCCACTGCATTTGCCGCCTTATATTAAACCCATAACTGACTTACTGACTTTAATACCAAAAAAGCAACAACAACAACGAATTTAATCTGCCATAAGAAAAAAATACGACTACGGAGAAAAACAGATCAACCCAGAGTGCCCAGAGGGGGCGACGTTGAAATCTGCTTAAGAAAGAGTCAAAAGGTGAATGAATTGTAATTTAATGGCGGCGTTGTTATTTCCCAGATTATGGAGCAAGCTCGAATACATGGCGATGAAAATGGTCGTCAATGAGGTTGGTTCGGTTGTTGGTGATGACGATGATGATGATGAAGAAAATGTTGTGGCATAAAACACGCAGCAAACTGTAGATGTTACACAATCGTAAATCATTTCAATTTCAATTTCCAACGAATGAACTGAGTTACTGGCAAAGTTTTTTTTCTTTTTTTTTTGTTGATTCTCTGGTGGGAAGAAATTCATTGCTGTAATCTTAGTGTTGCCATAAACATTCGTTGTTGTTGCTGTTGTTTGTGCACTGCACTGCATAGCCAGCCCCCCAAAGATTTACAAGTTTTACTGTATTTCAATACGTTGTTGTTGTTTTTTTTCTTTTTTGTTTTGTAGATTAATCACGTTATATGAACTGATAATCATCTTTTAAGGTTCTATTCAGCTTTCTTTTTCACTTAACGGCGTCTTTCTTATTCTTCTCCTTGCTTTTTTTCTATACGGCTCATAGCTTCCGTATGTCAATGTCCTCTCGAGTATGTCCTCTTAAATCTATGGAATGTGTGGAAAAATAAAGTAGACGACTTACCTTAAATATAAATTGTCCCATGTCGGAGGCACGTTCATTGGCTGAACCTGATGCTCTTTTAAAACAATGCAGATAGTCACGTGTCAAAACAAAATATCTGCAAAGAAAACAAAAACAAGAACCATGGATAAAGTGAAAAAAGTTTTTTTGTTAGCGAGAAATGGAAAAAATGTTTATGAGATTATGAAAAAGAAAGTTTCATGCGAATTTAGAAAATTTCAATCTATTGTTTTAAGGTAATTTTGTTTGAAAATTTTGAATTGAAAAATAAAAAAGTTTGTGGAGCCTAAATGTAGGCAACAAAAAATTCTGAATTTTATATAACTAAAAGAAGAATGGTTTCCTGAATGTATAATTGGGAGAAAAAAAAAGTTTTGTTTAAAAATTCGACTGAAAATTCCGAAATATAGGCCACACAATTTTGAATGTGATGCAAAATTGATTCTTTTTTAATCTATATGACACGTGTTGTTTTTTATTAGTAAATTTGAAGTTGCAAGACCCAAACTCCAGAGTTGTGTTTCTCAAATGTAATCAACTTGCCCTACCTTGTAATTATTGTATCACTAGAGAAACTCCATTGTAAAGAGACTGATAAAAGAGGTGTGTTTTCATTTTTTTACAGAAAAAATAAAAAATGGAACCTTTAAATCAGAAGATTATATGGGCGTAATGGGCGAAATCAGTTGTTGTCAGGTTTAAAATAATGATCGGCTTAATTTTTATTAGTAGCCCTGAATCGACTCCAAATACATATATTTCGTTAAGTCATCACTCGAATTCGAGTAAACAGTGGACCTCGTCGAATTCGAGCGGGAACACTCTGAGAGTAGTATATAAATAAATAAATAAATAAATAAATAATAATAATAATAATAATAATAATAATAATAATAATAATAATAATAATAATAATAATAATAATAATAATAATAATAATAATATAATAATAATAATAATAATAATAATAATAATAATAATAATAATAATAATAATAATAATAATAATAATAATAATAATAATAATAATAATAATAATAATAATAATAATAATAATATAATAATAATAATAATAATAATAATAATAATAATAATATAATAATAATAATAATAATAATAATAATAATAATAATAATAATAATAATAATATAATAATAATAATAATAATAATGATGATGATGATCCGTCAAAAATTCTGTTAAAATCTTAAAAATGCCATACAAATGTAGCCGTCATATTACGGTCTAAGCCACGACATGGACCTGCATAGGCAACTTTTGTCATAAGCCATTGAAATATTCAAATGCGAAACTTGAAAAAAATCGATGAATAATGTAGCTAAAATCATCAATATAGGAAGGTACAATAATATGGGGCTATACCAAAATGTGGAACTGCACAGACAATTTTCTGCCTTAGGCTGCAGTATTCATTACGAACTTCAAATACCAAATTTGAAACTACTCCGGCAAATAATGACGCTAAAATCATCAAAATACCGAATATTGGGAGGTACCGTTAAAAGAGGGCTATATGAAGACGTGGACCTGCACAGAAAATTTTCTGTCTTAGGCTGCAGTATCCATTACGAACTTCGAATACCAAATTTGAAAAAAATTCCGATGATTAATGTCGCTAAAATCATCAAAATGCCAAATATAGGGAGGTACCGTTATATGGGGGCTATAAGAAGACGTGAATCTGCACAGACTATTTTCTGTCATAGGCTGTAGCATCCATTACGAACTTCAAATACCAAATTTGAAACAATTCCGATGAATAATGTCGCTAAAATCTTAAAAATACCGAATATAGGGAGGTACCGTTTTATGGGGGCTATATGAAGACGTGGACCTGCACAGACAATTTTCTGTCATAGGCTGTAGCATTCATTACGAACTTCAAATACCAAATTTGAAACGATTTCGGTGAAAAATGTCTCATCCCCTTGGACATTACATACAACACAATCAATTACTCATCACCGAACAAGGCACACATGATTTTTTCCTGCAACTTCCCGTTTGCTAAACAACTATAGATGGCTCTCTTAATATATAATACAAAGCTCCATACAAATTTTTAAAATGTTGGTTAGGAGCATTCGTGATCCTTTGCTTGACAATATTATTTTATATCTGAATTCACTCGGAGATTTTTTTTGAATGTGGTGATCATAGATAAATATGTAGGTAGGAGAATTTGGAATATTGGTAAATTTTTGGAGTTAATAGACTCTTTGGTAATTTTTAATTTTACACTTATAAATCTCCATCTATATTGGAAAACCTCGCAACGTTAATTTGTAATTTCCCCTATAAAATTAATTGCGCAAATTTTATAGAAGACATTTTATCGACTATCCTTGGATATATCTATGTATTCTGTGACTCTCTTATTTCATTGAATTCACAAACCGATTCTGCTTTCTAGGCCCAATAAAATTTGCATTGTCTTCCGTGTATTGGGAATGAAGGCTCTAAGCTTTTCTTTTCACGGATTACTAATGAAGGCAACTTAAGATCTAGTTCTGGAATAATATGTGTTTGGTAGTTGTTAATAATGTCGATTTCTAATTTTATTGGTGATAAAAAACGCAAGCGATGTTTTCCTTTCGATTTTGTAGTCATGGATTTTTTGTCGATTTTTTATAATGATATGCACCAAAAAGTATGCAATAATTAATTAATTTTTAATTATGCACTCCGACAATTTGTGAAATCGATCCAACTATTTGTTAAGGCTCGTTGGCACATCATGTTAAAGTCATATGTAAAGCGACCAAAAGTTATTTTTTCCGCTATCCTGGGTTATGTTAAATTGCCGGTAATTTGAAGAGTTGAAAGCTATTGTCACCCATATTAGCTTTATGCGACTTGCAGTAACATTGAAAAATTTTTTTTTTCGCTAGAATGAGAATGAAAAGCTTCTAAGTTTGCTCACTCTCTAATGTTAATTTTTGTTTAAAAACAAAAAGGGTGCCTAATTTGACACATCCGCAAACATCTCAGTCCCCCATTTTATAATATGTGTCACTATTTCATTGAGTCAGACATTTTATTTTAATACCAAACATGACCCATTGCTCTTGGTCATCCATAACAATAAATGCATAAAAAAAAACTCAAATCACCAAAAAACTATTCTTCATTACTCAAAACAACATCCAAATGCCAGCCAGAAATGCTTGCCTACATGACTAAAATAATATCCAAAATTATTGCTGCTGTTGTTGTTGTTGTGGTTGCTCGTATGACAACAGCAGCAGCGGCAGCAGCAGCAATATGATGCCTTTTGTACAAAATGTTATAATTGCTTCCTGTTTGCCAAAAACAGAAAACAAATTGTTGTTGTTGAGAGAAAAATTAACGAACACATGTTTCGTTTGGCCAACGACATACGTTTGTTGATTTTTAGTATAGATTTTGGCTACTACTCCCACCCTCTGAATGATGGGTATATATTTATAATAATGATATTAATGGCAAGCTATGTTTGAAAAAAATATTGTTTAATAATTCACAATATGTTATGAGAAATTGTTTTGGGTTTAAAGAAATTATTGGGTGCCCTTTGTTCTTAAACCGTTTTTTTGCGTAGATATTCGACATGGTTTATGGTGAAGGAAGTACATGCCTATATGTATGTAATTGGGCATAAACAAATCAATTTTTTAATGTAAATAATTGAAAAATATTTGTATTTGTATCGAAGAACTTAAAAAGCTGAACAATGTCAAACCTATTTAAAGGATACACAATTGAAGTCAAAAGCAGATTTTTATACTCTCTTGTTCCTTCTTTTTTAGATATTTATGGTATAGTATATACAGAAGAGATGAAACAAGTGAACAAAAATTAAGTTCGGCCGGCCCTCCACCTTAGGGTAAAGAAAACACAAGAACCCTTTATGACCCACAAATACCAATTTTTAGACATATTCGTGGAAAAATGTGGCAATAATCATCAAAATACCAAAAATCGGGAGGTACCGTTATATGAGGGGTATACCAAAGCGTGGACCCATACATACAATTTTTCACCACACGAACTAGGACCCATTATGACCTACAAATACCAATTTTCAGACAAATCCGTGAAAAAAATGTGGCAAAAATCTACAAAATACCTAAAATCGGGAGGTATCGTTATATGAGGGCTATACCAAAGCGTGGACCTATACATACAATGTTTCGCCACACGAACTAGGACCCATTATAACCTACAAATACCAATTTTCAGACAAATCCGTGAAAAAGTGTGGCAAAAATCATCAAAATACCGAATATCGGGAGGTACCGTTATATGGGGACTATACCAAAACGTGGAACGATTTATCTCATTTTCAATACCAACCATCCTAGACACAATAGAAATAGTTCTACTAAATTTTGACGATCTACGTCAAATAATGTGTGCTGTATCGTGGTTTCAACAGACAGACGGGCTGACAGGCAGACTGGCATCGTTAAATCGACTTAGAATTTTATGCTGATTATGAATACATATACTTTATGGGGTCTACGACGAATATTTAGGGATGTTACAAACGGAATGACTAAGTTAATATACCCTCCTTTCCAAGGTGGTGGGTAAAAAAACTGCAACCAATTTCAGACTGCTGTTATTTCTAAGCCACTCGTCCGACAGCTGTTAAAATTATTCCAGTGATAGCTCATTATATTGTTTACAAGCGTACACAAGCATTTTGGTGAGAATTTTCCAGAAAATGTAGTTATTCGTGATGGAATTCAAGCGTGATAGGGTGATTTCTATATATTTGGCTGGAAAACTAAGAGTGACTATCGTTAGGGCACTCCAGCATTTAAATGTGAATAAATCTTTTGTGGCTCGTACCATCGCTCGGTACCGTGATACTGGTAGCGAAGTCAGACGTCAACAAAGTGGACGGAAGACGGACAGCAACTTCAACAGAAATGGTTCGAAAAGTAAAGAAGCGACTTGATCGAAACCTGCGTCGCAGTGGCCGAAAAATGGCTAGTGAGCTGAACATATCGCAATATTATATTCGGTAAATATTGAAAAATAAACTCGGGGTAAAGCCATTGAAATTCCAAAAAGTGCAAGAACTTACACCG